CTGAATACTCAAAACTTCAAAGCAAAACCCAAACCCACTGTGGTTCAGACCTTGTCTTTTCTTGAACGACGTTTGATATTTATCCGTGAAATTACTTTGCAGTTGGAGCTGAAATAGCCCAATTTTCAAATTGGGCTAGAGAGTGAGAAAATCATGGGAGCCTAATCCAATATCTAATTACTATGGTTCCTTAAAAACATTATAATTATAATTATAGTACTTTCAGATTTAAAAAATGCTAATAAGATAAGAGTTTATGGTACAAAAAAAGAAGTAATTATTTATTCATAATCTCTTAAAAATGATTTTTTTATAATTAATTTTTTTCCTCAGGTACGAAAGAAGGTTTTTATTTTATTTTATTGAAATTGTTGACAACTATCATGATTATGGAGTAATGACTTAAATTATAAAAAGATAACAGATAATTTTTACGGAAGGAGGAGGTGTGCCTGCTTGATCCCATTTATGTGTGTCATTCTTATTATCAGAGCTACTTTTCGCTTACACGAGTCAAACAGATACTTATCCAATATTATCACAAAAGTTCCCGATTCATTCCATGTCCAAAATTATCAAGATAGGATTGTGCCCAATTCATATCATGGATTCAATCCTTCAGCCTGCTACATAAAGGAATTTCGTGGATTCCTGTGATAATAAGGGATCAGCAGGTACACCCCTGTACTTTGTTTTTGTGAAATTTCTTGCAAAAGACCGCTGCTTTATGTAGCTAGCTCCAGGAGAATATTGTCCTCGTTACTTCTTAAATAATGATATATATTGGCTGCCCAATAATAAAGGGATTTAATGGATTCCTGTTTACACGCATTGATTCTGATATAATTGTTTGGTTGACTTGATGGTGTAAAATTCTTGTGGATGATTCGATTTCTATAGCAAAGATCTGCCACTCAAAAAATTGAATCCGGTTTTACCAGCGTAGAGGCCGTGGAATTTATGATTAGATCATAATTCTTTGATTTCTAATTTAAAGATGATTTTCTGGGCCACAAACTGCAACATACATATATACTCAAGAGTCAGAGGAAGGTTACAGTAATCTTCTCGAATTTTATTGGCGACTATATACTGATCTGGCATCGTACCTGTATATATATATATATATATATATATATATATATATACACTGAGATGGATATTTATTAGCTACTACAGGAGGTTATTTAGAATTTTTATCATCATACAACTTACAAGGTGGAGAGATGCTTAAGCATGACTTGGCGAGGTTTACACAGAATCTCCAAGGGCTCAGCTCTGGGCATAGTAAGTCCTATTCCATCTGCCATGTTGATCTCTTCTTTGCCAATCCTGTTCCATTCAAACGACTGAATCAAAGCACCCAATGCCAGTCCTACCACTCGCCTGCCTAGAACGATCCCGGGACACATCCGCCTTCCAGCACCAAACGGAAGTAGCTCGTATCCTTCGCTCTCTCCACCTTCAAATCTCTCTGGCATGAATTTGCCAGGATCCACCCAAAGATTTGGGTCCCTTTGAATGGTCCATACATTGATCAGTAACATAGTGCCTCGTGGCACATCAAAACCACCAACGGTACAGTCTTCAGAAGATTCGTGTGGTAGTAAAAGCCGCACTGGTGGATATAATCGAAGTGACTCGTTGATTATGTTTTGTAGGTAATTTATCTTTGGTAGATCAATTTCATCCAAAAAGTGATTGTGTCCAACATAAGTGTCCATCTCTGCCAAAACGGTTTTCATTGCCTCTGGATGGTTGAGGAGAAGTGACATTGCCCATTCCATGGTAGTTGATGAAGTTTCATTTCCAGCAATTAGCATCGCCTGCACCCATGTTCAGAAAATGATCGAGGTACCTGAAATTACTGGAAATGACAATAAATGGTTGATTTCCTTTGTTTTCTTTTCTTTTTATTTCCTAGCTAGAGAGAAAAAAAAGATTATAGTGATTGATTTGAACGAGTAGATGTATTAATACTAATCATACAGGAGGCTGTTATGACCGGCAACTAATGGATGTTAATGTGTGTTTTTTTTTTTGGCAATTATTGAAAGTATATTATACAGCCAAAATGGGCAGCCTTAATTTATATCGGTTTGTTTGACCATGTGCATGTATAAAGTCAGAGAAAAAAGTTGTAATTTTGAAATTAAGGTAAGATAAGACCATTAATTAGATGAGACAAATTGAGGACTGATCGATTATGAAAATGAGTATGCATACCTGTTACCTAGTACTTACCAATATAACAGCTTTAATATTCAAATCAGTATACAGTTCCGGTTCCGTTTCTTGTAGTGATAGCATGACATCAATCAATGTCATCTTCTTTTCTTTGTTACCAGCACCAGATGCAGTCCAAGACACAGATGATTCACTCCTCATTTCCCTATGCTGATCAACAAGGTTTTGTAAGAATCTATCAAATCTGTCCCGCAATCTAATCATCCTCTTTTCCAACCCCTGAAAATCAATCCACTGAAGCACTGGCAAAAAATCATTCAAGCTTGTGCTCACATTCAACTCCACATATTCTCTCATGAGACCGCGGAACTGACTTGCTTCTTTGTCTACTGCATCCTTCCCATAATATCGCTTTCCAGCGATAATCCTCATCATGACATTAAAAGCAAGGTCCTCGAACTTCGATGACAAATTCACTCTCAGGAATTCCTTTTCACTCGAGTCCTGGAATAATTGCTTTAGCAATAATTGAACCTCCTCTTGCCTAATACCAGCAAACTTCGCAAGACGGGGTGCAGAAAAGAGCTCCAAGGATGTCAGGCGTCTAAAGTTGCGCCAATGGTCACCATAGGAGGCTGCTCCTATTGTCCTGTAGTCATAATTGAGATATTTTCCGGAAAGCGAGCGAGGGCGATTTGCAAAGATGATGTCGTTCTTCGTAAAGCATTCCTCAGCTGCAGATGCTGATGAAACCACAAGGACTTTACTCCTACCAAATCGAAGAAGTAATATGGGGCCATATTTTGCAGAAAGTTCATGAAGAGTTTGGTAAACTGGTAGCTTAAGCAAATGAAGATGACCGGTTATTGGAAGAGAAGGTGGGCAGGGAGGGAAATTTCTATGGTTTGCAAGCTTTCGTAAAATAAATTTTGAGATAAAAATAAGGACCAGGAGCTGGATTCCCAGGTTCAACCAGTGAGTTACTTCCATTTTTTCTCTGGTGGATCATATGATTCCTTTTCTTTATTTCTCTATTTGAAGGTTGATGAGCACCGTAGAAAGAAAGCTAGTAGTGTAATTTAAGCAATCAGAGACGGAGACTAGAATAATTGGTTAGTGGGGTAGTAGGTAAGCATATTTATTTATTTTTTTTATTCTTTTGTCTTATAACATGATCGGTTGAATTTAGGGTTGATAGCGTGGCCTGATGTGAGTTTCATTTCCTAGTTAAATACTCCACTGGTGGTGCGAAACGTATGGCATGTCAGACAATCCATTTATTGCAAGAACAACAGGAACTAGGGAGTTACGAACTCAATCTAAGGAAATACCTGGTGGATCCTAGGAGAAAGAATTCCATAAGATCAAGTGGCATCGTATAAATCCAAAGAAAGAAGTGAAAGTTAAATTTGACAGTTTATAATCTTATAAAATTCCTGACAGAATATGTAGATTACAGGTGTTTCAAGAGGTGAGTGCAAGCGAATTAAACTACTAACAATGAAGCAAGCTACAACAATAACTTTGTATATAAGCTACAGCGTCCGAAAGAGCACTAGCTAGACTTTCATGAGGTCAAAATGTGACTCTTAGAGGCCCGTTCTCTTCTCTGTTCAGATTAGCATCCTCATAGTGTTCCCCAGGCTTTGTCCAATTCAAAGTATTGAATTAGAGTACCTAATGACAATGCCATCAGTCTAATGGCCAAGCCTGACCCAGGGCACTGCCTTCTACCAGAACCAAATGGTATGAACTTATATCATGCCCCCCTTTTCCACTTCATTCTATTGGAACCTCTCTGGCTTGAATATGTCAGGGTCTACCCACAATTTGGGATCCCAGTACAAAGTCCAGGCATTCACCAGCAACATCATGCCACGTGGAATGTCATATCCTCCTACTGTGCGTTTTTCTTATGAATCATGTGGAGGTATAATTGGTCCAGTAGAGCCTAATCTAAGGGTTTCATAGATAATACAGTAAAGAAATAAGGAGCTTTGAGAGTTCAGAATCATCTAGTAGCTGAGATTGACCAATACTGTTTTCAATCTCCTTCCTTGTTAAAAACCTCAGGATGTGCTTATGTGACACGGCAGATTCCATTGTAGATGCTGATGTTTTTGTTCCTGCTATCAGTATTTCCTGAAGACCAGTGGTGAATTATTATAGAAAGGTTAGCTTTGATGTGATCTTCCTATTGTAACCTAGTTCAGCTAGTTTTCTAGCTGTTTAGCATTCATCTAACCTAGAAATCACCCTACCTCTAAACCAGGATAATCATGAAGTGCTTGCCCTAGTTGAAATTTATCGTGCAAAAGGAACGTTATATGTAGCACATTTCTCTAACTCCAGTGCTGGTTTACAGGACGAGTCCCATATGGAAAACGATGGTTCACTTACTAATTAGGAACTATGAAGGCAGGGGAGAAAAGGGCACTCAATTCGGCCTCCTTGAAGGCTTGAGTTATGGTTTTTAAATTGCAACAGTTTTGCAATTATCCAAGAACTTCCCGACACATAAGTCTGGTAAATTGTGCCATTATCAGTTCTCCTATGATAATCCTTGACTAATTGATTTAGAATTGTATGCAATAAAAGAGTACCAAACATAAACAAAGAAAAACCATTACCACTAAAATTCCTTTGATGACACTGTCAGTGTAGATGCCAGTTCCGATTCTTGCAATGACAACATAACATCTATCAGTGCTGGCCTCTTTTCTCCACAAGATTTATTATTTTGGCATGAATTGATCAGGTTCTGAACGAATTTTTCCCTCTTTCTGTGCGCTTCCATAACCTCTTTCTCTACTTTATAGAAGTTCGACCTCCTCATAATTGTCAAAATGGTTACTCAGAACAAGGTCGGTGTCTGGGATCATTGATCCTGTCTCATCGCAATGTTAGAAGTCAACTGGTCCAACTTCCAATTTCTGCGTCCCTTCCAAGGAGTTGCCGGATATCTGTTTGACCAGGAAGTTGATTTCTTCGGCACGGATGCCTGAAGACATTTGGAGACTTGTAGATGAGAAGATCTCAGTAGCAGTGAAGCGACGAAGATTGCGCCAATGGTCTCCTTATGGAGCTACTCCAAGCCAGATGAAATCGTACTCTAGGACCTCCGTAGAGGCAAAATGGGGTCGATTAGCAAAACGTATGTCGTTCTTTGTGAAGCATTCCTCAATAGCTGATGGATTTGAAATTACAAGAGCTGGACGTGGTCTAAATAGGAGAAACAAGATGGGACCATACTTACAGGAAAGATTGTGAAAAAAAAAAAAGGTGGATGGGTCTCTTCAAGAGATGGAAATGGCCAAGTACGGGAAGACTAGGAGGACTTACTGGTAGGTTTTCTGTTGAAATCTGTTGGAGACGAGTTTTTATATGATAAGGAGAAAGGACAATAGCAGGCCTATGTAATGCATAGCTGCCATGGTCAAACCCGTTTCCACCCTTAGCTGCTTAATTGGAGTAGGTTCCTGGCAAATTCAGATGGTGGATCTAAATACTAGTGCTGTTTTAATTCTAGAATTTCAGCTCTTTGTTTCTTGGGTATTTGTTTGACCTGTCATGCTACAGCGAGTGGTTACTTTGAGTTTAGCAGCAACAAACCAAAATTCAAAATGTAAGTGGTCTTGAGGGTCATTGTCAACGCGGGTTCTTGCTTTCACCATGAATACGAAAGATGGGCATTTTCTCCAACGCTATGATACAAAAATCAACAGGATAATGGATCTAGACAATATAATATTTATTTCAGAGTCATACAACAAGTTTCCTTACAACTTCATTACATAAATAAGCAATACTTTACATATTAATTATTCCAGAATGGATATGAAATCTGAAGAAGTCTAATCAAAGAAAAAGCTACACAGAAAGACCTGAACCCCAAATCATACCTTCGCACTAGAGTTGAGAGAATAGGTTACTTACGGAATGAAATGGAGTACAAAAAGCCTCCAAAGGCTTAGCCTTAACCATTGAAATTGCTGCAGCTGGTGTCATATCAACCATTTCCTGTCCAACCCTCTCCCACTCAAAGCACTGAATAAGTGCAGCCAATGCCAACATGATTGTGCGCATACCCATGTTAGATCCTGGGCAAGCCCTCCTTCCCATACCAAATGGAATAAATTTATAGCCTTCTCTTTCCTCCTCCATCGCCTCAAATCTCTCTGGCTTAAACCGGCTAGGTTCTTCCCACATTTTGGGATCCCTATGCATGGCTAAAGCGTTAACCACTAGGATTGTGCCTTTTGGTACCTTGTATCCTGCCACAGTGCAGTCTTCAGATGGACAACGAGGGAGTAAGAGTGGCACAACAGGATACAATCGAAGGGTCTCATTGATGACGCAACGGAGATATTTTAGTTTAGGGAGATCCAACTCTTCTACCAAGCGCTTGTGCCCAACTTGACTATCAATCTCTGCTCTTGCCTTCTCCAATATCTCCGGATGATTCAGGAGAAGTGACATTGCCCATTCCATGGTAACAGCTACTGTATCTGTTCCTGCAGAAAACATTACCTGTATAACATGAAGAATCCAATCAGCCAAAGATAAATGCTGCTATGACAACATTAAACTTAGAATGAGAACCTCAATCAGTCATAATATTAAGCCTTACATATAACTAATATTAGTAATACATCAAAATCTGAGAAATTCAGATGTTGAGCCATAATGATTAACATATTATTCAATTCTGAACAAAAATATCAGTAACATAAATATTCATTTGCAATGCAAAATACTCCATAATATTTGAATAAAAATGTGAATAAATCTAGCAATTCATTATCATTGCCCATATTTTAAGAACTCGCTAGATGAGAATGAGAGAGAGAGAGAGAGAGAGAGAGCACGGCCCGTCTAGACTCGCTACAAGGAAGTAGCATGGAGTACATGATAAAGCCAAACGAAGACAGACAAATTGGTGAGGGAAAAAGAAAAAAAGGCAGAATGAGAATACAGCAGAACAGTTCATCAGCTCTCTTGCAGGCAATACCTAAAGCATCTGTATAGGTAATTTTTCTACGATATAAGGAATTTGGCAGTTGAAAAAAGAAGGGTGAAATGAAATAAGCATAAGAAATGTCACTGTGCTATTATTAATGACCAATAATAAACAACAAATAATTTTGTTAATTGCAAACCAAAATTCAGAAACAGATGAAAAGATAATCAATCTAAGTTGCCTGTAAAAACTGCTTACCAATATGAAACCCTTGATAATATCATCTGTATAGAAATCAGGTTCTGATTCTTGGAGAGACAATAAACTTCCAATCACGGTTGTATTCTCCACTCCTGCATCAGGACTTGAAAATGAACTGCAGGTTCTCTTTTGTCGAATCTCATCTACCAAGTGTTGCAAAAAATCATCCCTCTCTTTACGCAACTTGATCACTCTCTTCTCAAACCCTTTGTAACCAATCCATTTCAACGCCGGAAAAAAATCACACAAACTCATGGATAAAGGTGGATTGAATATCTTTTTGAGTTCCACAAGACCCTGCTTGCCCAAATCCGTGCAGGCAGCCTCCTCTTCAATACACTTCTTACCGGCGGACATCGCCATAGCGACATTGAAACTGAGGAGTGAGAAGAAATAATGCAAATCCACCTTTTTGTTGCCACTAGAGGAGACTTTAGAGAATTGGCGGAGAAGGGTGCAAACTTCTTCTTTGCGGACGGCAGAGAACTTATTGAGGCCTTTCTGAGAGAACATCTCAAGGACGGCGAAGCGCCTGAGGATACGCCAAAGATGGCCGTATGGAGAGAAGGCCAAAGTAGTATAGTTGTAAGTTAAATGATCTCCGAGTAAGGAAGTGGGCCTGTTGGAAAGGACTACGTCATTCTTGGTGAAACATTCTTCAACAGCTGATGGCGAACTAAGAACAAGCATAGACCTGCAGCCTACTTTAAGGGAAAGAATTGGACCATATTGCTGCAATAAAGTCTCTAGTGTTTGGTATAGTGGGGGCTTGAGAAGGTGGAGATGCCCTATTATTGGAAGAGAAGATGGACTTGGTGGCAAGTTTTTGTTATAATGGAATCCATATTTGATTACAAGAAAAATTAGGAGGAAGAAAGCCAGCTGGTAATACATGATGTTTAATTTGCAAGGACAAGCAGTATTCAGTGTTCTAGCGTCAAAAAGTGGTTAGTCCAGTAATCATGTCTGATTCTTCTGTGGTGTATTAGAAATAGAGATGGTTCATGTTTATCTTTGGCAGTTTTTATTATAAAAATAAAAAATAAAAAATAAAAACATGTCAAACTGGCATTTAACACGTGATAGAATTAATATGGTCTTTTGCTTCAGTTATAGAGCCAGTTGACTTTGAAGAATCCAGACCGGGGACCCTCAACTAACTATATTGGGCTTGAAGCCTATTTGCAGATAGAGCCCTTGTTTGAAATAAAATGGCATTTGTGTTTAAGCCCAAGACCAACCCGCTTTTCACTTTCGCCACCGCAACTCTTTGCATTTTGCAACGGAACGAATGCAGTCATTGCAAAGGAAGCTCGTGCCCCGGACCCAGCTCTGTAAACTGCCATCGCATTCATTTGGGAAGATTTGGGAAGATTCTACAATGGTTTCCGCTTTACAAATCAGAATTGCCGAGTTGGAACCCGATCAATTAAATGTTCAAAGAAAAAAAATGTTATACGTGCTAGGTGGTTAAAAAACAGAATCATTAAAGAGTAAACTATAAATCAATCCCTCAAGTTTTTTGAAACTAATTAATTAGCCTTTTTTTTTAAAGAAAAAAAACCAATTATGTAATTCTTTACATTTTAATTCTATTAATAACTTAAATTAGTAGTGAGATGTCCTAATATAATTTTTTTTCCTTATTCTCAAATAGTCTTTCTTTTAATATTTTATTTATCTCATTAACCATTTTTTTCTCTTTTTAATTATCGTGGCGATCTCTCTCTTAATTTCTTTAACAATTTTGTGGTTGGAAAGAAAAAAAGTCATCATGACAATTGAGAAGAGAAAAACAGATTGAAAGTATTGAGAAAAAGATCACCATGATTGTTAAAAAAAAAAAAAGAGTGAGTGGATGAAAAAGAGAAATAACATATCAAAATAAGAGCAATTTGAAATAAATAAAAACATACTACAGTTAAACAACTCCTCACTAATCAAAAAAAGAAACTAATAAAGAATTTAAGTTATTGATATAATTAAAACGTAAATGCCAAAATAATTAGTTTTAAAACGAAAGAAATTAATTTATAATTTAATCTAAAATTAAACTATCCCGAATATTTTTTCTGCATTTTTACGTAATTGGTTTGCTTTATAATTCAACCACCCCCAATTAGCAAAGTATAGAAAACCTCATTGGTATCATATCGTACCAGGTAGGAATATTTCCTTTCCTAGTTAATTTTGGAATACTAATCAGCTGTTCCCATAGTTACCTTCTGGCGTCAGAAGTTATTATACCTTAGAAGGGAAATACAATCCAGTCAACTTGGTTCACAAATATAGGTTCGAATTGAAAGTCAGAGACAAAAATCCCTTGCAACAAACTGCAATTGCCTCTGAATAGCTAGATATCTATAACAGCATCAAAAGTAATACACACCCTCGTGAAGTTGGGAAAAAGCCATTCACTTGGCCTTTAAGCCTCAAGCTAGACAAGAAGATAACCTTCAAACCCGTCTAAAGATGGGAGAGGAGGGTAATCAAATCACGGCGTGGACTACACAATGCTTCCAACGGCTTGGCTTTAGACAAGGTAATTCCAGAAGCATGGCTCATGTCTTCCACCAGTCCAACCTTATCCCACTCAAAGCATTGGATGAGGGCACCCAAGGCTAATGAAACTATCTGCAAACCCATGCTAGCGCCTGGACAAGCTCTCCTCCCCATTCCAAATGGAATATATTTGAAACCTTCTCGCTCTCCTAAACCTGCTTCAAATCTTTCAGGCATGAATTCATCGGGCTGCTCCCAAAGTTTGGGATCTCTATGCATGGCCCAAGCATTCACCATTAGCGTTGTGCCTTGCGGTATATCAAATCCCCCAACAGTGCAAGCTGCAGAAGAAAGATGAGGAAGCAAAAGGGGAGCTGGAGGATATAATCTAAGCGTCTCGTTTATGACACATCTAAGGTAGGAAAGCTTGGCAATATCCGACTCTCTAAGCAAACGCCCATGTCCAACATGCTCATCAATCTCAGCTTTCACCTTCTGCATTGCTTTTGGATGATTCAAGAGGAGTGCCATCGCCCATTCCAAAGTAACTGCTGATGTTTCTGTGCCAGCTATAAACATCATCTGATACACATTATGTTATCAATGTCAGAATGAAACCCTTGGTCAATACTCGTATTGTTTTGGCAATTCTTTATTGTCTGAATATCGGAAATTTAGGATAGTAAAGAACGCGAAGACACAATATTCTCGTTCCTTCAGACCTTAGGATCTTTTTGGATATCTAAGTACACAAGTCTTAAAAGACAGTTTTTACTTGGGAAACTGTTAAATTTATTAATACATCTTTCACCTATTACTAATAACTATTATATAATAAATATTAATAGAGTATGAACTACTATGAAGTTTAGATAAAAGAACAAGCACCTGTTTCACACTTTCAATATTCTCGCTCTCCAGGGCTTGCTTCTAGATTAATTCCAAGGATCTAGGTGTCCAGATTCCTTAAAAAATTATAAGAAATGGCACACGAGGCACCAAATGCTTTGTCTCAAAAGCACTACCTCAAATCAATCATTCCATTGAACTAAACCCGAGAATTGGTAACAAAACAATTGGTCACCAATATGCACCTCCAAGGCAAAATGAAATGGTAAAATAGATAAAAAAAAAATAACGCATTTCGCTTACCACTTGAAAACTTTTGATAACTGTATCCGTTAAATATTCAGGTTCCAAATCTTGCAGAGACAGGAGAGTTTCAGTCACTGACCCCTTCCTTTCTCTATTCCATTGTTTAGCAGTTTTGAAGGAAGAACTCATTCTGCTCGATCGAATTTCATCTATCAGATGTTGCAGATACTTATCTCTAGCTCTTTGCATCTTTATCATACTGTTCTCTAGCCCTTTGTAACCAATCAGCCTTAAAATTGGGACAAAATCACAGATATTCATCCCCAAGCTAGGAAAAAACTTCTCCTTAAATTCTTGAAATAATTGCCTCTCCGCCTTTGTATCAGCAACCTCCTTATCGACACAAGGCTTTCCAACAGCGACTCTCATCATGACATTAGATGCTAGAATAGAAAACAAAAACTTTAAGTCCACCTTCGCTGGAACACCAGTTTTGACCTTCAGCAGTCTGCGAAGCAGGGAGGAAACTTCTTCCTCGCGAATAGTTAAAGACTTTTGGAGGCTCTTTGATGCGAATAATTCAATCACAGCAAGTCGGCGTAGGCTTCGCCAAAGATGACCATAAGGTGCCCACACAAACGCAGTATAATTGTAAGTAAAGTGATCCCCAGCCATGGACTGGGGTCTGTTTGCAAATATTATGTCATTCTTGGTGAAACATTCTTCAACAGCAGATGGTGAAGACACAACAAGGATAGACCTACCACCAAATTTGAGGAATAGGACTGGACCATATTGTGACAAGAGAGTCTGTAGTGATTGGTGCAGTGGATACTTAAAGAGGTGTAGGTGGCCAATAATTGGAAGAGCAAATGGACTAGGAGGTAGATTCCGCTTGCGATGGAAGAGAGATTTTATGGTAAGGAAAACAAAGAACAGGAGAGCTAGTTGAAGGTACAAGCTTTCCATTTCAAACATTAAATGCAAAAAACACAAACAGACGAGTGTTTTCCCTGGGCTAGTTGAGCAAAAATTTAAGATCCTGTTATCTTCTCTGGCCAGTCTTATCTATTAGCAGGCAAAAAACCCAGCCACTAGTTCGGACTCCGAAGGCCCCACTGTCCTTTTCGCCAAAATAAATAAAAGATTCCTTTTCATTATCGAATAATTTAGTTCCTTTTACTTTAGATCGTACCTAGATTTTTTTACACGCCCTACGCGAAACGAATTAAACAAAATAGATAAGATTATTTTAAAAAATTATATTATTATAATGTCTTATATTATATTACGTGTCTATTAAAATATATCAAATTTTATATTTGACTGATTAGTTTTTATATTTTTCATAAAATTTTTTATCAAAAATATTATTTAATAGTATAAAGAATTTCAAAACCAATGGATTTTTAACTAAAAATTTATTTTATAATTTTTTTAAATATTTTTTTGTCTTCAAATTTTTTATTCAAAAAATAGAATAAAGGATCAAAGTGATCAAAATGAAACAAAAAAAAAGAGACTAAAATCAAATAAAAAATATTTATTGATTGAAAAAATCATATTTAAAAAAAAGAGATCAAAGTGCAATATTACAAAAACTTTCATAATAAATATATTCAAAATATTTGAAAACTATAAAAAAAAATCACTGTATAGTAAAAGGAATAGTGTATCTAAGTCCGAACGAATAGTAAAATGAGTCCGGATGAATAGTGTTTTAAATAGTGAATGAATAGTAAATCATGATTTTACTTTAATTTTAT